CTGTCCGGTCCAACGTCCGACCAGACGTCTGGTCGTACATCCCGGACGGTCAGGGGGGTCCCGGACGTCCGATCAGGTAACCTAGACAAATTGCCATATAACTGACTATGAGGGTGCATATGCCATCTTCGGAGTTCTCAAGAGGCTCTGCTGTCAGAGTTCTTGAAACGTATAGTATCATCCAGATAAAGCGACCATATGCTCGGCCGAACCAACCAACCGGATTGGAATCAAAAATCCATATATATATATATATATATCGTCAAATAGAACTGCCCGGTAAACCGTAGGCAGAGAGGGAGAAGAGGACAACAAACGAGGGGCTGTGACAAACTGTTTCGTCTATATATATATATATATATATATATCGTCATATATATATGCCAGAAGGAAGAAAAGTGGTAAAGTCCGGAAGACGGTAGCACAGCGATGCAATGGACAATTGAGTTGAATCGAGCGTATTCTACTATTCTACTAGAAAAGCAGCGTGCCTATCATACATGTGCACTCCAGGTACTTGGCTACTCGTGCGACATGCCCCCCCCCTGCCTACCAGAATGGAGTCAGATTCATAATAGGGCAGCCTAGGGACTAGACGAATGTCCCAAACTTGAAAGCCATCTCTCCAAAGTGTATGCCATACATGTGCAGTCCAGAAACACAACCGCATAGTGGGCGTCGACCGTGTCGTATATTAGCTCACATTCTGACGGGCGAGGTGGCTCGACTCCTCGATGTTTGCCCTCCGTGCCGTTCGCATACCCAGGGGCACAGACTGGTTCGCAGAAGAGAACTGAGAAAACAGTGACAATATTGCCACTGTTTGCTCAGTTCTCTTCTGTGAACCAGTCTGTGCCCTGCGTATGCGAACGGCAAGCCCAGACACAGGTCTGCCGCCCGGACGTCTGCACAGGTTACGCCAGCCCCGGACACCGGACCAGTGCAGACGTCTGGGCGGCAGACCTGTGTCTGGACTGCTCCAGACCGTACGGAATGAAAAAACGGGTTAAGAACCCCTTTTTTAAGTTTTTTAGTTAAATTTTTTTTTAAAGCGTTTTTTTATTTTAATACTTTTATTTTATTTTCCCCGATGGATTTGGCTACGAGTTTCGAGATGGTCCTCAGCCAAGAGATTTTTGTATTGCTATGTGCACAGCATATCTTTTTTTCAGGTTTTTTTTTTTTTTTTTTTTAAGTCTGATTTTCTTTTCTGTTGGGGGGGGGAGGAGGAGGAGGCGATGGATCCGGACACGATGGACTGGACACCAGACCCGGACATCCAGACCCTGACCATCTGTACTGCGGTCCGGACGTCCGGATTGTAAACCGTGCAATGTATTCACTTCTCACGAAGAATCTTCTCAGAGAACAGAAAGTGAAATCTTCTCAGATCTGTTCTGAATCTGTTCTGAGAACAGTAACAATATTCAGAACAGATCTGAGAACAGATCTGAGAACAGAAAGTGAACTGTTTAGTTCTGTTTTGTTCTCAGATCTGTTCTGAATATTGTTACTGTTCTCAGAACAGAACAGAACTGAGAAAAAAACAGAGCTAAAAAAAAAAAAAAAAAAAAAAAAAAAAAAAAGGAACAGAACAGAACAGACCTGAGAATCCGTGCACCCGGGGTTAGGAAGAAGCTGAGGTGCTTCGGCCTGGGACGAGGTCACCGCCAAACCATAACTCTTAGGGCGCTGCAGCTAGTGTGCATAGATATGTTGCAGCGAAAAAAATAAAATATTATCGTCACAAACAGAACTGCCCGGTAAACCGTAGGCAAAGAGAGAGAAGAGGACAACAAACGAGGGGGAACTGGACCTAGATAAAGAGGGTAGGTAGTGTGAGGTGTCGTAGTGAAGAATATAGTTTAGTTTTTAATTAAAATAACATTAAAAAAAAAAAAAACAGAGAATGGAGAACAGAATTAGAAATGTTCTCAGATCTGAGAACATTTCACTTCTCTCAGAATGAATAGGCATGGCAGATTAGCTCGAAGTCTCCGAGAAGAGAACGCTTTGCGGGCTTTCAGGTAGAGCCCCTCTCCTCGAGAGGTGGTTTGCGCAAACAGAGGTCACCCCAATAACTCAAAAGTCCAGGTCATAGGCCACCCCAATAACACAGAACCCYCCCCCCCCCCCGGACCATTTGCCGGTGCCAAGAATCACTCAGTCTGAGCGGCGCAGAACGGAGTGGGAGGACTAATGAAGCGCAGTTCGGTCACACTTTCGCTAACAATGCAATTTGTTTCGCGATAATAGATCTCCGAATTACATTACATCGTGTTATTACTATCGCTCACACACGATTCAACCCGTCCTCACGAAGAAAGCCGCAGCAATCTTGAAATCGCCTCTCCCTACGGTCATCATCCCTGCCACGCCTTTGATAAGGAGGCAGGGGTCACCCAAAAAAAAAGAGGAGGAAAGAAGGGATGTAAGTGTACAGTGTACACACTACGCAATTCTTTTTTCGTGTTCGTTCTAATAATCATCCAATAGTAGTGTGAAATACAAGAGCGGTATCATTTCAGCCAGCGCTCGCCCCCGCGTCCCATGCCTCTTAAAGCACTGACTGGTCAGTGAGCAAGGTGCTGCACCCAGGTTAACCCGCCAACTTTGGAGTGTGATGTACCGGCCTACTTAAAAGCACCACCAGTGCATGTCAGCTATCGGCCTCGGCCCCTTTTCGGAGGCCGCCCACCGCCGATTCATTTTATGTACGGCACTCCGCCTCCTCCTACATTTTTGAATAGGCTCAAAACAGGTTCTCCCGTTGCCCGGGGCCATGTACTGGTGGTTTAAGCCCAGTGTGAAACCCAAACATGATCAAATGTGTTCAGAGGTCCGCCGAAGGGTCTTATTGTCCTGGGGCAAGGTCCCATTTGCACGGATTAAGAGATTCTGGCCGTTGATCTTTGCTATCTCAATATCGCTTAATTCGTGTAAGCGGGACCTTGCCCCTGGTGGCAGTGGTGGATTGGCCTTGACGTTTCCGAAGACGCTGACAAAGAAAAAAAATACGATTTTTTATTTTTAAATTTTTTATCATTAAACCAAATTTACAACCACCACCATACGATATAGAAAAAAAATAAAAATAAAAAAAATCGTAATTTCAATTATTCCATGCATGCAATTGATTTAGCTGCTTGGTATTGCTACTACTCCATGTGCTCTGGCAAACCAATGCAGCTAAACCTACTCAGACGGTAGATTAACGCCAACTTTGCTTTTTTTTTTTTTTAATAAGAAAAAAAAAAAACAGTCTGGCTGTTAGGAGGGGTGAGAGGAGCCCAACCTAACAGCCTTTCTGGTTGCTCCAATCTATTGGTGGGGAGCGTCACCTGCTGGAAATGCGGTCCAGCGTCCCTATGCATACAACTTGAAAGACTTAGTTTATTAAAAATAAAACAATAATTTTTTTTTTTTAAATGTAAAGTTAATACAAAAACTAAAGAGTTCATGCAAAGTTAAAATACTTAGTTGAAAGTTCATAGTAACTTCATACTTAGTAGTAAATTGATAATAACTGTTAATAAGAGGAAAAAAAAAAAAAAAAAAACTGTCAATAAGAGAAGGACAGGATATATCAGCACGGCGAGCACGCATTAATTAATTAATCGTTTTCTTATTATCGTAATGACTATGTAGTATGAAAAAAAAAAAAAAAAAAAAAAAAAAGATACAAGGAAGTTGAAGGAAGTAAATATGGAGTCCTCTTTAAAATTGAAAAGACCCCAGCAATATGTGAACTTCAAAAAAAAAAAAAAAAAAAAAAAAAAAAAAGGGAAGTAAATATCGAGTGTCCGAATAAATGCACAAATCGAACTGATGAGAGTTGAACTGAAGATGTCTCTTATACACATCTAGATGTGTATAAGAGACAGCACACACACACACACACACACACACACACACACACACACACACACAAATGGATTGGATGCAAGCATGGGAAATAAGAACAAGACGGTCAGCATGCGCCGCTTCCCTCGTCTCTGATGCCCTAAAAATATGATGGTGCTTTTCAAAACTCTTGTCCGAGTCTTTTTCCCTTATGTTTGAATTGATTCAGTTTGTTCTGACTACATTCAATGTCCGATTTCAGTCCATAACTACATGACCCAAATGCAGCCCGGATGGGACAGTACGCACCTCAGTGAACCTCTGCACCACAAAACTCGCATGTTTTAATAATGACAAAAACTCTTCAAAGAATGGACCTTTAGTGGCTCGGGCAGCCGCAGACGTGTACAGTTATTAAAAAAAAAGAAAAAAAAGGGAAAAGAGTCGAAGACAGATTGCTTGCCAAGTTGCATTGTCCCAGCGCAACGGATAATCCCATGAGCGCATTGAGCGGCTGAAAATGACCTGCCAGTCAACATAGCCATAGACTAGACCTCAGCTGTGGGGATGAATAGCCCATAGCCAATAGCCAATAGCCGCAGCTGAGGTCTATGTCTATGTCTATGTTGCCTATTAATCCGATATTGACTAATAATATAACATGTTGACTAGTAATATAATAGTCAACATAATACGCTGCAGTGTATGCAAGTATTATGGATATTCCAATATACTGATATACCGATATAGTCATGGTACTTTTTTTTTCTTCTTGGTTTTTTTTTTTTTTTTTTTTTTTTTTTTTTTTTCCCGCACACATGTCTGTCTTCATCATTGGGCCATATAGTGATTATACTTGGATAGACGGCAGGTGTGGGGATGAATAGCCAAAATTAATCAAACTGGTGTATAGCAGAATTGGGGAAAACCTTCAAAACCACACATAATGGAGGGGCTCGCAGCAGCACTCGTCAAAGGCCAACAGTTTGCAAGTATATGAATGATGAACGGACAAATGCATTCAAAATGTTGGCGTTTGGCGAGTGGTGAGGCGAGGGCCGTCCTCCAGATTATCGGCTATGTACGAGGAGTGGGGACGGTCTGTGCATATATGCAGAGAGGCACACTGACAGCAGGGCCTAAAGGCGGCCTATCAGGGGAAGTAGCGGCGCTTACCGTCTTCACCCGCCCGAATACAACGTACCCTGAAGAATACATACATGCATACAAGCTATCTTTCCAGCCCGATACAGTCATGATAAGGGGTACGTTATGTTCGGCGGAAGACAGTAAGGAGTACCAAGGACCTTAGCCATGAAGATTTTGAAATTTGAATGCATAAAGAAATTGCATCCGTTAAAACTGGAACGATACAGAGAAAGAAGATTAGCATGGACCCTGCGCAAGGATGACACGCATAAATCGATAAATGGTGCAAATTAAATAATAATAATAATAATAATGTATTAATAACAATAATAATAATAATAATAATTGCAAAACATGCAGGAAGACATGGCCAGGGCAAAGCAGTCGACCATATGGCAAGCAGTTTCTTTGGTGATCGCCTTTTTCCGATGCTCAGAGAGAAACGGGCCAATCTCGAGGCGCACACCATACCGAAAAGAGGGATTGTAAAAAAAAAAAAAAAAAAAAAA